TGCTTAGAAGATTGGGAGGAGCAACTGTCAAATCAGGTAGAGAAATCTTGATTACTCCAAATAGTATTGCAGAACATATACTAAACATATCTAGAGCTCCTAGAGATCGTGAATTCACAATTAAGATTAAAAAAGAACTTACGTCCATTAAAGCTAAATGTTTAAATGATACAGCGTACTCTCTACCTTTTGATACTGAAGAAATCTATGCTGCCCTTAAACAAATAAAAGCTGGTAAAGCCCCTGGAAATGATGGTGTCCATCCTGAATTCCTGTTACACAGCGGCAAGTATACTAAGCAATGGCTGGCTCGCTTCTTTACTGACATCTTACAGAAAGGTGAAATTCCTTTCGCTATGAAACAAGCTAAAATCATAGCTATCCTGAAACCTGGAAAACCTAACGATAGACCAGAGAGCTATCGACCTATCTCACTCTTGAGTGTGATGTATAAGCTATTAGAGAGACTTCTTTACAACAGATTGAGCAATACAATTTTTGAGAATATTCCGGTAGAGCAGGCTGGTTTTCGACCGAATAGGAGCTGCTCAGACCAGGTACTAGCCTTCACTACTTTTGTGGAGGCTGGATACCAAAGGCAATTAAAAACATCTGCAGTATACATCGATCTCACTGCAGCATATGATACTGTCTGGCGGCATGGCCTAATCTATAAGCTGCTTCGAGTGATACCCTGCTTAAAAATAGTTAAAATAATTGATGAGATGTTAAATAACCGACCCTTTCAAGTTGTCATGGGAAATTCGAGAAGTAGCATACGAAAACTAAATAATGGCCTACCTCAAGGCTCTGTCCTGGCACCACTGCTTTTTAGTCTTTACATAGCTGACTTGCCTCAAACAAAGGCAAGGAAATTTGGATATGCAGACGATTGGGTGATTGCCACGAGACATAAAGACCTTGCAATTACTGAAAAGATCCTGACAGAGGACTTATCAACCTTAGGACAATATTTTCGCCAGTGGAGACTTCAATTGAGTAAAACAAAAACTGAAGCTTCATGCTTTCATCTTAATAATAAGCTGGCAAATGAAGAATTAAAGGTTTACTTTGACAACAATTTATTGAAACATAATATGAACCCGAAATATCTTGGCGTCACTTTGGATAGAACTTTATCTTTTAAAACACATCTGATGAATTTAGCTGCCAAGGTTAATACCAGAAACAACATCCTCCAAAGACTATGTGGAACTACATGGGGTTCTTCGCCGTCCACCTTACGGATCTCTGCTCTTGGCTTGGTTTTCTCTGCAGCAGAATACTGTGCACCGGTATGGATGAACAGTGCTCACATTAAAAAACTGGATGCCCAACTAAATGCTACTCTACGTATCATAACAGGTACTATTAAATCAACTCCTATTCACTGGTTACCTATTTTGAGCCATATCCCTCCATCTGCACTCCGAAGGGACAGCACTTTGCTCAGGGAATATAGGAAAATATTGTCTAATCCACAACTTCCGATCCATCAGGATATTGATGACCTCAACATAAATCGACTTAAATCAAGACACCCTCCTCTTATAAGAGCTAAATCCCTGCATTCCAATAATTTCAACCTCACTGAATCTTGGAAAAGGCTCTGGGCTGATGTCTCTCCGGTGGACAGTCGACAACTTCCTTGTATCACAAAGCGACCACCTGGATTTGAGTTATCCAGAAATCTTTGGAGTGTGTTAAATAGGATTCGGACCAAACATGGGTTGTGCAGGGACAGTCTTTTTAGGTGGGGAAAAGTTGCATCCCCACAGTGTGACTGTGGTGCTGAAAGACAGACTATACATCATATCTTGGAAGATTGTCCAGTAAGATCTTTTTCGGGACAACTGAGTGACTTCTTGATTATGACTGAAAGTGCTTTAAACTATATTTCTAACTTAAATTTACATTTATGATTTGTGTTCTTACTTTTTCTGCTTTCTGTTCTTGTTAACAATTAGATGTGTAGCCATACGCTAAATAAATAAACCTCACGGGATCAAAAGAACTTGTCCTACCTCCGGCTACCCACAAAGGATTTGGTAACAGACTATCGCATCTCTATTGACATCGGCTTCTCGGGTGTCGTTTCGACCTCCAACAAAGGTTATCTGTGCTTGTCGACATACACCGGCGATTGTTCGATCGTATAATAATATAAACAAATATTCGGACTTTCACCGACGTATTTTGTATGTGTCGACATTCACCGCAGAATATCGACATTTTCTAACTTCGATCTTTCACAGTAACAGGAATATAAATTGTGTCTCGTACGCGTTACTCGAAAGCTAGGTTATCTTTATATTAGAATTCATATAAATAGCTATAAAGTTTATAATTTTCAAAATATCTATTATAAATTCGGCACTCTTTTAACCTGACTCAGTAATTTTATTGTTTAAGATCGGTCTCTGAAATTTATAAAAATTAATTAAATTTTGTTTTGTATATGAGTATTTAATTTTAAAAAATACAACAACATCGCAATATAATTATTTCGTTTTTATTGCTAACACCAAAAAATACATACGAGAATAAAATGTCCGAATGTGATCTATCTGACATAACTGTGAATTACCTCTATCAAAACCATGATCCATGCATGGAACAATGAATATATTGCAGGTTGACAACACATATCTGGTTGACTTTCCGATTTCTCGATTCCAGTATAGAAGTACAGGTAACCCCCGTATAATACAGCACTTCTATAGCACGGATTCACTCTAAAACGGTTCGAGAATTGGTACCATCCCCCGTATAACACGGTACTTTTATAGCACGGATTCACTCTGACACGGTTCGAGAATTGGGTAAAACCCTCGTACAACAGGAAATGTAATAAATTTTTACATACTTAAGTAATAATAGTTCACGAAAATAACAATTTTCGTAAACTATTAGTACTTAAGTATGTAAATTTTCTCTTCTCGTCTTCTGTCGATACACGTGGTCCTTCTCGAAACTTGTTTCAATGTTGCCAGATCGCGACGCTTCTGCTTTTGATGTTGTTCTCTTGTTTTTCCCTTATTCCATACTTGCTTTATTCTTCATAAGTACTTAGCACCATTGAAGGAAATTTATAAAGACCTTTTAACTAAAAGCAAGCAATTTAAAATTACATACTTTTTGCAAAAGGTAAAGCATGGATCTGAAGATAATGCAGAAAAATGCTCAGAGGATAAGGATAACTTGCCAAAAAGAAAACGCTCTCGGTTAATTAATAGTGTTTTTAGTGATGACGAAGAAAACATTGTTTAATTTATATTAATATGTATCAATTGAAAAAATTTTAATGAAGATATTTATGTTAATTATGAAAATATACTAGCATGATTTTTAATTTTTGGAATAATCCTTTTCGTATTAGTTCTTCGTTTCGTATAACACGGCAATTTTTTCGAACGTACCTACCGCGTTATACGGGGGTTACCTGTATAACAATTATAGCAGTCGTATCGTTTTTAGTTTTGCGGAGATAAACGATATTTCCTGTGAAAATTGCCGCTCATTCATTCTGAAAAATGAGACCATCGCCTGATTTCCCTGCGTTTTTCGTGCGGTATTAGGATTGATTTGTTTGAGAAGATTCATTTTGAATGTTGCAAAGTTTACGTTATTTTTCGCCAATGTTTTGCGTAACACATAAGCGTTTCTAATAGTAACGCGCAGTATAAGTAAAAATAAGTTTGTATACCAATTTAGTGGAATATCAGTGATATGAACATTTCTCCTAGATAAACTTGCACGTTCGACAATTTCGTGCTGTTTAATTGCAAACGACTTCTTAATTTTCAGGTTTTTTTGGAGTTTTTGAACTGCGATTTGCCGGTATCGAATTTTTTTTATCACTTTTGTTTTTAAATCATTATTATCGAAGTAAAAAGGTTCTCTTGATAATGTTACAAAACCACATACCTTAACCCCATTTTTGTATAATCGTTCAAATAATATGGGAGAGGTAGATAGATTATTCAGATGTAATTTATGACTTTTCCCAAAAAAAGGCTGTAATAATGTTAACACGACCAGATCGTGATGCCGAGAAAACAAAGCGTATCTTCGCCGATATAAGTAATAAAATCGACTATGTATCCAGTTTTACAATCTGACAGCGTAACTAAATCTGCATAAAATTGACTCCGATGCAAAGAATCACAATTACGAAATGGTCGGTCGTTCCAGCTAAGACGTATTTCATCGATGCGCAGGTTTTCGAAAGGATAAAATGCACTTGTGAACGAATTTCTCATGCTATTCATTAACCTACGAATTTTACGTGATATGTCTGGCGTTTGATGAATAGGCGAGTCTGCAAATTGCAACATTTCCATTAGCATAAAAAAGCGATTTTTGTCCATCGTTTCGTAAAAATACGATTCACACCATAACGAATCTACAGACAAATAGTTGCAATTTGACGGGAATTTTCCCTGCCTTATTCTAATATACCAACGCCAGAAACAGCATAATTTCGTTTTTGTTTGTGTCTTGGGATTTAAACCTCCGTTCGGAAACGTCATGTGTCTTTTTTAAGTTTTCATAATGGCGATTAGCGTCTTGTACGATTAAATTTACACTTTCTTCTGTAAATAATTGTTCGAATATTTCTAATTCGGTGGAATTCTGATTTAAAGGCTTCGATCTAATTCCCGAACAACTGCCATAGAATTTCAAATATTTTGCAACTAAATTAGAAGAATGAACCACTTGATTGAATCGTCGTGTTTCCTTTTCTTACAAGGAGTCGCGCCATCTTGTTGAATCGGCAGATCTTGCTGATCAGAATATTCAAATCTCGGATTTCTGGAATCTTTCTATCCTGAAGAATAAAGTACTAATTCTTTAGTTTCTTCACCGTTTGATCCATTAGAATTCATTTTGGCCTTCAAAGTAACTCACACAGCACGATGTAATTGTCTACTTGAACAGTCTCCTTTCGTTTTGACAGTACCTTACGACTAGTTCAAAGGTCACAGGAAATTTCGGTTGCAAACAAATCGAACAAAGGACGTATCAGTATGCTTTCTGATTGGTCTAATTTAAACAAAAGCTTAACTCCAGTTAAAGCATGCAGGAGACATGCGCTTAGAAATAGGAATCAAGGTCACTGCTTTTCGCTTATTCTCCTGCAGAAGCACTTTCTGAGCTAAAAACGTCAGCCCCCAAGTGTGAGGGGCCCACTATAATTAAATTGTTATCATAAATTTATAGCACTTTATCATTAACTAACAATGAACACGAATCGTACAGTAAAAAATAGTTATTATTATTAATATAATAATAATGATAATTTATAGTATTGCTTCTATCATTTGACTCGAATTTAAAGGTTCTTCATTAATTAAACAAATAATGAGGTCCTATTAAACTTCAATAAGCCTTATTTTCCAAAAAAATTAGATTTGCCCTGAGTATGCTATAGGGCAAATTGATATGATACGTCCCTTTTTTAAATTAATTTGTAATTAAGAATTTTTAATAAATTTAAATATTTTATAGAAGATAGTAATGTTGATGTAATTAACCACAATAACTAAATTAACCGCAGCTTTTCAAGACAANGTATCTTCGCCGATATAAGTAATAAAATCGACTATGTATCCAGTTTTACAATCTGACAGCGTAACTAAATCTGCATAAAATTGACTCCGATGCAAAGAATCACAATTACGAAATGGTCGGTCGTTCCAGCTAAGACGTATGTCATCGATGCGCAGATTTTCGAAAGGATAAAATGCACTTGTGAACGAATTTCTCATGCTATTCATTAACCTACGAATTTTACGTGATATGTCTGGCGTTTGATGAATAGGCGAGTCTGCAAATTGCAACATTTCCATTAGCATAAAAAAGCGATTTTTGTCCATCGTTTCGTAAAAATACGATTCACACCATAACGAATCTACAGACAAATAGTTGCAATTTGACGGGAATTTTCCCTGCCTTATTCTAATATACCAACGCCAGAAACAGCATAATTTCGTTTTTGTTTGTGTCTTGGGATTTAAACCTCCGTTCGGAAACGTCATGTGTCTTTTTTAAGTTTTCATAATGGCGATTAGCGTCTTGTACGATTAAATTTACACTTTCTTCTGTAAATAATTGTTCGAATATTTCTAATTCGGTGGAATTCTGATTTAAAGGCTTCGATCTAATTCCCGAACAACTGCCATAGAATTTCAAATATTTTGCAACTAAATTAGAAGAATGAACCACTTGATTGAATCGTCGTGTTTCCTTTTCTTACAAGGAGTCGCGCCATCTTGTTGAATCGGCAGATCTTGCTGATCAGAATATTCAAATCTCGGATTTCTGGAATCTTTCTATCCTGAAGAATAAAGTACTAATTCTTTAGTTTCTTCACCGTTTGATCCATTAGAATTCATTTTGGCCTTCAAAGTAACTCACACAGCACGATGTAATTGTCTACTTGAACAGTCTCCTTTCGTTTTGACAGTACCTTACGACTAGTTCAAAGGTCACAGGAAATTTCGGTTGCAAACAAATCGAACAAAGGACGTATCAGTATGCTTTCTGATTGGTCTAATTTAAACAAAAGCTTAACTCCAGTTAAAGCATGCAGGAGACATGCGCTTAGAAATAGGAATCAAGGTCACTGCTTTTCGCTTATTCTCCTGCAGAAGCACTTTCTGAGCTAAAAACGTCAGCCCCCAAGTGTGAGGGGCCCACTATAATTAAATTGTTATCATAAATTTATAGCACTTTATCATTAACTAACAATGAACACGAATCGTACAGTAAAAAATAGTTATTATTATTAATATAATAATAATGATAATTTATAGTATTGCTTCTATCATTTGACTCGAATTTAAAGGTTCTTCATTAATTAAACAAATAATGAGGTCCTATTAAACTTCAATAAGCCTTA